TGTGATAGACTGGTATCATTTGACCACCACTCTAATAGATTATCTACTACTGTGATAGACTGGTATCATTTGACCACCACTCTTATAGATTATCTACGACCACAAAGTGCGGAGAAGATTTATGTGGCAACGGGTCGCGAACCCTCGGATTCACTGTCTTGGCACACTAACACTAAGCCTCGCATGGCTCCACACATAATGAAATTGGTTTAGTAATTTGTTTTCTTGACATTAACAGAAATCTAGAAACTTATTAATGCAATTTAATGAGAGAGAGAGAAAGAGACATCATTGATCTTCATCCTTCGACGTCCTCCTCTTACTCAGATCTAATTGTCATAAATTTTCATCTTTCGACGCTTTCTTCTGCCCACAGATATAACTTCATTGTTAGTTTTTTTTGTAAGTTTACTGCAATATCTGTTGGATACATATAACCGTAGGCATCATGAAGTTATACAAAAATTATAATCTTTGCTTTGTCTAAAATACACAGAGTATTAGCATGAACGTACCTTTGGACAACGCATGTAACTCAAGAGATGAAAAAACTCCTGTTGCTACGACTGTATTCATACACGTGTCTGTAAAAGAAGTTCCATCGGTTTCAAGGATGGGCACTTTGAATGTACAGTAAATGAAATAGAAATAAAGCACGACATTTATAAAGTAAAGTAAAGACTACTGTGTAGCCTTGTGAATAACTACAAATTTACATACCCAATAGATCAAACTTAACATTTTTCATTTATTTTTTTAGAATCTACTTCTTGACTGCTATAGACACACGAAGAGCTTCTTCCATGTGGAGAGATATACAAAACTATATAACCTGTGTTTTAGCCTTGAAAAGTGTTGTATTAAGTAAACCTTTCGAGATATGCAATAAAACCAGTACTTTGATAATTAATTTTTAACAATAATAAATGTTGCATATATAGTTGTAACTGATTCATCAGGTGGAGAACCAAGTTTTATAATACATATTAAAGGCATGGTAATACAAAAAAAAGCTTTAATACGAACGTTTCGGAATTTCTTTAAATTCCATGATCAGCTTAAATATCTGGAAAAAGTTCTTAATATTCGAACTACAAAAAACAACATTAGCATCGAGCGAATTTTCGTATTCAATTGGAAGTTGGAAGTTTTGGAAATAATTTCACCAATAATTGCTTGATTTTTTACGTCAATCAACAGTGAAATGATTCATTGCATTATCTATAAAAGAGATATAAGAAATTACACAAATGACACATCTTGTGTGTGTGTGTATCTAAACTTTATTCTGGTGGGCTTTTCGGGTACACTGATTTTCTGCACATAAGATTAAAAGTATCCGTAAAAAACGCATAATCATAAAATGTACTGAAGAGAAGAATTCGGACTGCAAATGTAAAAAACAAACATAAGTGAACAAATATACAAAATATTTATTCACAATAACCGTGTATCGTTTATATATATCAGGTCGGTTGGATTGTTTTGATCTGTAGTGGTTACATTGGTTGCTGGGATTGAGAGAAGTGTTTTTCTAAAGTGTCCAAGACAGAAATAATTATATATATTCATCCAAACTGAAAACAGAAAAAAGGAATTTTGATATACCACTGAAAATACAAAACTTTTAAGTGCGCTATACCAGAATCTAACGTTGTATACGTCAAGGACTATTCGAAATAACATTCATCGGGAAGGGGAGGGTAACAAAAAATCTAATTCATATCAATTTGTACAAGTTTCTGTGCCACCTACTCAAATGGGTTCGCCCCTCCCAAAAAATAATTCATATCAATTTTTACAAGCATCCGTGCACCCCTTCAGATGGTCTCACCCCTCCAAAAACCTAATTTATACCAATTTGTACAAGCACCTGTGCCACCTCGTCAGATGGTCTTGCGTCTCTTCAAGGGGACAAAGTGTTAGGAGTTTCTAGCTTTTGCCATATGCAATCCTTTTAACTGAGTAAAAGGATTAGTACATGTTTACAAACATTCGATATTTGGTCGAAAAAACGGCATATACATGTGGAACACCTCCACAAAAATCTAGAAACATTTCGTGAATATACTTGTGTAGGGAAGTACATTATGCTAATACGGTTGTTCCGAACCAGGAAATACGCGAAATTCTTTGAAAAACATTACAAAGGAGATAAACACCAAGCTTCAAAATTGGAAGGAAGTTTCGGTGAGCTATCACCTTGTTCAACTAACCAATACTCTAAGTTCGCGCACTGTTGACTTTTAATTTACTGTTTCATTGATATAAACCACTATTAAGCTGTTTTGTGTGCGTCAGGGGTGCGCCGCTGATTCTAATGTCTCATTGGTGGTATAAAAAATGTTAGGGAGCACTATGCTAAATCAGTAGTAAAATATTGTTTGTTTGCTGAGCCCACCACGGGTATCGAAACATGGTTTTTAACATTATAAGTCTTCAGACTTACTGTTAAGTCACTGGGGTAGGAAGGTGGGGGGCAGTAGTAGTAAATTAACAAATAACGATTTGTAAGCACAATTACATTTATTATAGATAACATGAACAACTCTAAATAAAGATATATTCTAAATTAATTACGAAAGGGTTAAATTCAGGGCTATTTACTTATAAACGTGGCAGTGAAAAGGTTAAAGAAAAATCTTTCCTGTGTATATACATGTGTGTGTTTATTGAGTAGGACAGTAAACAATTTAAGTGATAATGGAGCACTCACTACAGTGACATATTAAAAAACAACTAAGCAAAAGCAAAGGCATGTCATTATATCTGATGGTGTCACGTACTGTCATCGGTTCTTATTCTACCAGCTGGAGTCTCGTCTATGGTAGAATTGTTTCGAAATCTGTTTTACATATTTTAAATAGTGCTAGTGATGTAATTGTTCTTATAATGACGTATTTAAGGAAGAAAGATGTTAGAAATAGGCTTAAGAAAACGGATTAATAGAGGAAGAATATAACGTACGCGTAAACAGACATCTATCAAAACAACCAATCGATTGTGCTTTTATTCCTTTAAACAAAGTACGCAAAAGTTGTATCAATAATAATGATGTTAAGGTATTTCAAAAGAAGCTAATTTCTACATCCGTACACCCGTATGTAACAACTATTACACATTATTTCAAGGTCGTTACTAAGACTCAAGCAATGTTATATCCAGGTGCTTAACATAAACGTTGAGATTTTGCCAAACAGGAAGAGACAAAGACAATTTTTTCACGTGCTGATCACGATATGTGGACGACATATTCAACTTTTCAAGGCCTTCAAGACTGTGTAGATCCACTTGTCAGAGTAGGAAATATGGCTGAGCAAAAACAAAGCACAACAAATTCTAATTCTGAGTAGAGTCTGACTTGTAAAGACAATAGCAGGCTATATGTGATTTAGCCTGTATGTAGAAACAAACTTCCTAAGTTATGATATCGCCAGCTACGGCCTTATTCTAGTCAGGAACATCTATACACCATTTCTGAGTCGCTCTATATAAATTACATATTTAATTGGACAGTAAACACTTCCATGCCAGTAATATGCGATACTTGACAAATCGTCTAACACATTACTACTAGATGTTGTGTTATACACTAGTTGAAACGTTTTGTTGTCTTGATGTTGTCCTATACATTAGTTAAAACGTTTTGTTGTCTTAGACATTTTCTCTTGATGTTGTCCTATACACTAGTTGAAACGTTTTGTTGTCTTAGACATTTTCTCTTGATGTTGTCCTATACACTAGTTGAAACGTTTCGTTGTCTTACACATTACCACTTGATGTTGTCTTATACATTACTTGAAACGTTCCGTTGTCTTATACATTACCTCTTGATGTTGTCTTATAAACTACTTGAAACGTTCCGTTGTTTTACACATTACCACTAGATGTTGTCTTATACACCAGATGAAACGTTCCATTGTCTTACACATTAGCACTAGATGTTGGCTTATACACTACTTGAAACGTCCCATTGTTTTACACATTACCACTAGATGTTGTCTTATACACTAGTTGAAACGTCCCATTGTCTTACACATTAGCACTAGATGTTGGCTTATACACTACTTGAAACGTCCCGATTGTCTTACACAGTACCACTAGATGTTGTCTTATACACTAGTTGAAACGTCCCATTGTCTTACACATTAGCACTAGATGTTGGCTTATACACTACTTGAAACGTCCCATTGTTTTACACATTACCACTAGATGTTGTCTTATACACCAGATGAAACGTTCCATTGTCTTACACATTACCACTAGATGTTGGCTTATACACTACTTGATACGTCCCATTGTTTTACACATTAGCACTAGATGTTGGCTTATACACTACTTGAAACGTCCCATTGTTTTACACATTACCACTAGATGTTGGTTTATACACTACTTGATACGTCCCATTGTTTTACACATTATCACTAGATGTTGTCTTATACACTACTTGAAACGTCCCATTGTTTTACACATTACCACTAGATGTTGTCTTATATACTATCTGAAACATTCCGTGGTCTTATACATTACCTGGAACGTTTTATTGTTTAATATACCACGTGAAACGTTTCCCTGCCTAATACTCTTCTTGAAACGTTTCGTTAACCTGTACACTAACTGAAGCGCTTCATTGTCTTATGAACTACTCCAATGTTTTCTAGTTGTATACACTATCTGAAATGTTCCTGAAACGTCTCCTTGACTTGCCACGTTTTGTCATGTTTTAGAATACTAAATCGTGAAACAGGTAAACGTTGCGAATTATCACAAGTGGTAAAAAATGATAAATTCCGAGTTTTACTTCTACTGTATGAGATAAACCAAAACTTAACTTGGCGAGTTAAAGTGAGTTGTTTACTTAATATACATCGTGTACGATTTACAAAAAAATTATTAACTTTTCTCTCAAAACCAAGAATAAACACTTTTAAGTATAAAACTCCTGTAATGCCAGAGTTGCGCATAGGAAATCTTTATATAGAAAGTATTCTATAGTTTACCTCTTTCTTCATCTTTTTCATTTTCACGTCCTGGTTCACTGTAGCCCCGCAGGGATTCTTGGAAGTGAAAAAAAACCAACAAGAACAGACTTTGAATACGAAAATATAGTCCAAAAATGACATACATTACATTCCCATGGTAACGGAAATAAAAATGTTAGGTCATGCTAAAGTACTCAGATGGTTAGTAAGTCATGTCCAATCAGAGAACTCAGGTGGTTAGTATTTATGGTCTTACTACAGTACTCAGGTGGTTAGTAAGTCATGTCCAATCAGAGAACTCAGGTGGTTAGTATTTATGGTCTTACTACAGTACTCAGGTGGTTAGTAAGTCATGTCCAATCAGAGAACTCAGGTGGTTAGTAAGTCAGGTCTAACCAGGGATCTCAGATGGTTAGTATTTAAGGTCTTACTACAGTACTCAGGTGGTTAGTAAGTCATGTCCAATTAGAGAACTCAGATGGTTAGTAAGTCAGATCTAACTAGGGATCTCAGGTGGTTAGTATTTATGATCCTACTACAGTACTCAGATGGTTAGTAAGTCATGTCCAGTCAGAGAACTCATGTGGTTAGTAAGTCAGGTCTAACTAGGGATCTCAGGTGGTTAGTATTTATGGTCTTACTACAGTACTCAGATGGTTAGTAAGTCATGTCCAATCAGAGAACTCAGGTGGTTAGTAAGTCAGGTCTAACCAGGGATCTCAGGTGGTTAATATTTATGGTCTTACTACAGTACTCAGGTGGTTAGTAAGTCAGGTCCAATCAGAGAACTCAGATGGTTAGTAAGTCATGTCCAATCAGAGAACTCAGGTGGTTAGTAAGTCAGGTCTAACCAGGGATCTCAGGTGGTTAGTATTTATGGTCTTACTACAGTACTCAGGTGGTTAGTAAGTCATGTCCAATCAGAGAACTCAGGTATTTAGTAATTAAGGTCCTAATATAAAACTCAGGCGATTAGAAAGTCAGGTCTTAGTAGAAAACGTAGGTGGTTAATAAAACAGGTCTCATAAAAGAACTCGGATGGTTAACAATTCAGATGGCTATTGAATCTGAGTATTACTAGAGTACTCAGGTAACTAGTGTTTAAGAGTGTTACTAGAGTAATCATGAGTCTTGTGTATAAGAGTATTACTGGAGTGTAATCAGGTGACTAGTGTGTAAAGTGTTACTAGAGTGCTTAGTTGGCTAGTGTATCAGAGTGTTACTAGAATACTCAGGTGGCTAGTTAATCATGTATTACTAAAGTACTCCAGTGGCTAGCTAATCATGTGTTAATAAAGTACTTAGGTGGCAAGACTATCAGTTGTTATTAGAGTACTCAGGTGGCTAGTGTGTCATGTGATATTAGAGTACTCAGGTGGCTAGTGTGTCATGTGATATTAGAATACTCAGGTGGCAAGAGTATCAGTTGTTATTAGAGTACTCAGGTGCCTAGTGTATCAGACTAGTACTAGAGTACTCAGGTGGCTAGTGTGTCATGTGATACTAGAGTACTCAGGTGGCTAGCGTATCAGACTAATACTAGAGTACTCAGGTGGCTAGTGTATCAGACTAATACTAGAGTACTCAGGTGGCTAGTGTATCAGACTAATACTAGAGTACTCAGGTGGCTAGTGTGTCATGTGATACTAGAGTACTCAGGTGCCTAGTGTATCAGACTAGTACTAGAGTACTCAGGTGGCTAGTGTGTCATGTGATACTAGAGTACTCAGGTGGCTAGTGTGTCATGTGATATTAGAGTACTCAGGTACCTAGTGTATCAGACTAGTACTAGAGTACTCAGGTGGCTAGTGTGTCATGTGATACTAGAGTACTCAGGTGGCTAGTGTATCAGACTAGTACTAGAGTACTCAGGTGGCTAGTGTGTCATGTGATACTAGAGTACTCAGGTGGCTAATGTATCAGAGTGTTACTAGAGTACTCAGGTGGATTGTGTATCAGTGTTACTAGAGTACTCAAGTAGCTAGTGAAAAGGTGTTACTGCAGTACGCAGATAGCTAGTGTATCTGAGTGTTACTAGAGTAATCAGGAGGCTAGTGTATGAGAGTGTCAATAGAGTACTCTCAGTTGGATAGTGCATTAGATTGTTACTATAGTACTCAGGTGGATAGTGTATCAGAGTGTTACTAGAGGATTCAAGTGGTTAGGAAAGCAAGTGTTTTTACAGTATAAGATAGCCAGTGAATCACATGTTATTCTAATATCAGGTGGATAGTGTATCAGTGTTACTAGAGTACTCACGTAAATAGCGTTTAGAGAGTTACTATGGTACTCCGGTGGCTAGTGAACCAGGTATTACTGTAGTACTCAGGTGGCTAGTGAACCAGGTGTTACTGTAGTACTCAGGTGGCTAGTAAACCAGGTATTACTATAGTACTCAGGTGGCTAGTGAACCAGGTATTACTATAGTACTCAGGTGGCTAGTGAACCAGGTATTACTATAGTACTCAGGGGGCTAGTGAACCAGGTATTACTGTAGTACTCAGGTGTATAGTGAACCAGGTATTACTGTAGTACTCAGGTGTATAGTGAACCAGGTATTACTGTAGTACTCAGGTGGCTAGTGAACCAGGTATTACTATAGTACTCAGGTGGCTAGTGAACCAGGTGTTACTGTAGTACTCAGGTGGCTAGTGAACCAGGTATTACTGTAGTACTCAGGTGTATAGTGAACCAGGTATTACTATAGTACTCAGTGACTAGTGAACCAGGTATTATTATAGTACTCGGGTGGCTAGTGAACCAGGTATTACTATAGTACACAGTGGCTAGTGAACCAGGTGTTATTATAGTAACCAGGTGTTACTATAGTACTCAGTGGCTAGTGAACCAGGTGTTACTATAGTACTCAGTTGGCTAGTGTGTTACTATAGTACTTAGGTGGTTAGTGTGTTACTATAGTACTCAGTGGCTAGTGAACCAGGTATTACTATGGTACTCAGGTGGCTAGTGAACCAGATATTACTATAGTACTCAGGTGGCTAGTGTGTTACTATAGTACTTAGGTGGTTAGTGTGTTACTATAGTACTTGGGTGATTAGTGTGTTACTATAGTACTTGGGTGATTAGTGTGTTACTATAGTACTTAGGTGGTTAGTGTGTTACTATAGTACTTGGGTGATTAGTGTGTTACTATAGTACTTGGGTGATTAGTGTGTTACTATAGTACTTGGGTGATTAGTGTGTTACTATAGTACTTAGATGGTTAGTGTTTTTCTATAGTACTTGGGTGATTAGTGTGTTACTGTAGTACTTGGGCGATTAGTGTGTTACTATAGTACTTGGGTGATTAGTGTGTTACTATAGTACTTGGGTGATTAGTGTGTTACTATAGTACTTGGGTGATTAGTGTGTTACTATAGTACTTGGGTGGTTAGTGTGTTACTATGGTACTTGGGTGATTAGTGTGTTACTATAGTACTTAGATGGGTAATGTGTTACTATAGTACTTAGGTGGTTAGTGTGTTACTATAGTACTTAGGTGGTTAGTGTGTTACTATAGTACTTGGGTGGTTAGTGTGTTACTATAGTACTTGGGTGATTAGTGTGTTACTATAGTACTTAGATGGGTAATGTGTTACTATAGTACTTAGGTGGTTAGTGTGTTACTATAGTACTTGGGTGGTTAGTGTGTTACTATAGTACTTAGGTGGTTAGTGTGTTACTATAGTACTTAGATGGGTAATGTGTTACTATAGTACTTGGGTGATTAGTGTGTTACTATAGTACTTGGGTGATTAGTGTGTTACTATAGTACTTGGGTGATTAGTGTGTTACTATAGTACTTGGGTGATTAGTGAATAATGTTTTTCTAGAGTACTCAATTGGCTAGTGCATCAGAGTGTTACCAGAATACTTAGGTGGCTAGTGCATCAGAGTGTTACCAGAATACTCAGGTAGCTAGTGCATCAGGTGTAATTAGAGTAATCAGGTGGTTAGCGTATCTTTAAGTTTTGCAATGAACATAGTTAGCTGATGCTTTGATAAGTTTGAATGAATTATCTCTCTCTATATATATTTTTGATTTTAAAATAATTTCAATATATACAAAAAATTCGTTATAAACTAGACTATAATTTTGAGGATTTGAAAATCATATTGTTCTTGAAAATCAAACCTTTTATAAAACATCTTCTGTTACCTAAAATATATACGTGATCTTTTATGGATGGAGAAATAGTGCTAAGGAACGTTTGGATCTTCTTTTTTTTCGTAATAATTTCGTATTTCTTAATCTTTTTCTTTAACCATCTCTAGGATGTGGAAGTAGATAAAAGAATATTTGAAGCAGCTCATAAAAAATATTCTAAGACGAAAGAAAGAAAAATGCAGCCACCGTCTTCTCAGTCTTTAACCATTAGGCTTACGTCATGCGCAGGGACAAAAGACAATGACAAGAAAACATCATTTAGATAGGACCAGGAAGTGGTCAAACAGCGGGAGTTGAGAACAATATGATAAAAACGGAATCCCCGTCAATAAAGAAGCTCTACGCAT